CTGTTCTCCCTAGAGGTCCAGTAAGGATCATCTCTTATTGATCCAGTGTTACTACAGGAGGAAATCTAAACTAAACTAACTTTATTTATACTGGATAGTTCTATCATTTCTAAACTGTTCTTGCTAGTGGTCCAGTAAGGATCATCTCTTATTGATCCAGTGTTACTACAGGAGGAAATACATAGAAACACTTCCTCAAATGTGTCTGAGGTGAAAATGTAATGAGACCATTGTCTATCACAATAATTGAAGCCTGATCCAGTTACCTGCCTGAACGGAACACAGACAGGCGAGAGGTCCTGCACTTACCACTGTGCCAAGTTTGACTGTAAAATGTATTTCTGTTTCAGATTATTTTACTGACTCAGGTGTAAGTGATCAAACGCCTGGGGGCTCGCGATACAAGCCTGTTGGCTGTTACAACATAAAGACAAAACCATTTGGTCCAATGTTGAAAAAACTCACCCTAAATACCGACAATAAAGCAGAGACTGTGTCCGAGTGTGGCCGTGCAGCCTGGGCACGAGCCAGACGTGTGTTCGCTGTGGGGAGTGGTGGTGAATGTTATAGTTCAATGGACGCTCATCGTGTGTTCCACAAGGACGGTCAGGCTGGGGATTGTACTGATGATCTGATTGGTGGAGCTGAGTCTGTTTATGTCTTCGCTCTCACAGGTTGGTAATATATTACCAAGGCCGCTGAGCAGTTGTGGGGTGCCGGGGGCAAAATGCCCCCCGCCCTGTATATTACATGTGAGAATCTCGGCTAGCCGGCTCCTGCAGCCACCACGCCCTGTTCGTCTTCTGTCTTACGACGTGGCGACCCATGTATAAATATCCAGTGTACACATAGTTTAGGTTTTCTCCTTTAGTAGTAACACTGGATCAATAAGAGATGATCCTTACTGGAGCTCTAGGAAAGAATAGTTTAGAACTGATAGAGCTATCCAGCACAAACCAAATTAGTTTAGTTTAGGTTTTTTCCTGTAGTAACACTGGATCAATAAGAGATGATCCTTACTGGAGCTCTAGGAAGAACAGTTTAGAACTGATAGAGCTACCCAGTATAAATAAAGATAGTTTAGTTTAGGTTTTCTCCTGTAGTAACACTGGATCAATAAGAGATGATCCTTACTGGACCTCTAGCAAGAACAGTTTAGAACTGATAGAGCTATCCAGTTTAAATAAAGATAGTTTAGTTTAGGTTTCCTCCTGTAGTAACATTGGATCAATAAGAGATAATCCTTACTGAATCTCTAGGAAGAACAATTTAGAACTGATGGAGCTATCAGTATAAATAAAGTTTAGTTTGTATGTTAATTGTTTCACTTTAAACATTTGCTCAGATTCATTCTGATTTTCCATTCTCAGGCAAAGTATTATTGTCCACTCCAACATGTTACAGTGTCGAAGATAATGCAGTCTCGGAACAAAGTTCAAACTGTGAATTGGCAAAACCTCCTCCGGATATTAAAGTCTGCTGTGAAGACGTGTGCAAAGGTTTGCATTGTTTTATAATGCATCTGGTTTTATCATGTATCTTTCAGTTTTTAAGTACTATTTACAACATGAGCAGCTGTGCACAAACTCGAGCCGAAGGCGAGTGAAACGTGTTGATGAGAACATTCGTCTTCTTCAACTAAGCCAAAAAAAAATATGTGGGTTTCCTGTTTCCCGACCCTACCTAGCTTTTGGACGTCGAAATCCCGACCCTAAACTTTTTTATTGGATCATGGTTGTAAGTGTTTCCACTTAGAGGAAAAAGTTTGTGGAAAATTGAAATTTGAGGCAATATTAGGGAAATTTATCTATGGTTGTGGAAGCACTGACTAAACAAAATTGACGTCCGCTTGTTCGGAAAATTAAAAAAAAAATAAAAAAAAAAAATTAAAACCGACCTACCCTACCTAAGTTTTTATAAGAAGAAACCGGAAACCCACATATTTTTTTTTTTGCCCTATTAAAAGATTGAACGGTAGTTGGTGAGAAAATTGTGCTTAAAGTTTATGTAAATCAGCATGATTTTGTAACAGATGTACAAACTCCTTCACGCTCATGATTTCTTTTGTGTTTTCTTCATGAATTATTAATGAGTTTCACAATTTGGCTTGTGAAAAAGTTCTAACAAAGTGTCATTCTGCCGTATAGATAATTGTTACAAGACAAAAGATGGTGCATATTGCGTTATACCATTCATTTACAGAGGAAAAACCCACTATGAATGCACTCGAAAAGATGGTGGTCCGATGTGGTGTGCCACCACCTCTAACTTTGATCGGGACGATCAGGGGGGAGAATGTGAAGGTAAGATTACGTCATTATTTTTATTTTTTTGTAAATCAGCAGCGGGCGGAATCCTGGCGTTTTCTGCAATCTGATTGGCTGCAGCAGCGGGCGGAATTTTACGATATTTGACCGCGGTCAGGAATCCTATACGTAATGGTCGAAGCAAAGCAAAAATTTTTTGTATGTTTGTTTTAAAACGGAAAAATATGAATATGTAATTTTGAAATACTTTTAATGATGGATAAAATAATTGTACTGTATTTTAATTGAATTGTTTGTTTTCTAAAGTAAAATAATTAAATATCAAAAATTTTTTATTGTTTTGTTTTCTATATGCGCAATCTAATAAAACCGTTGCCATTTACCTCTGAGTCTTCGACAAAAAAAAATAAATACGTTATTTACCGTTTAGGTCGGTCCGGATAGAAAAATATTTTGTCTCGGTCTCAAAAACGTCCCTCGGCCTCGGGCCGTTTTTGACACCTCGACAAAATATTTTTCTATCCCGACCTCCCAGCCGCTAAATAACATATATATGTATATATATATATATATATATATATATATATATATATATATATATATATATATATATATATATATATATATATATTCTTGATATATATACTCAATACTTTTTAATAGAGCTAAATATATTTAATTATTTATATATATATACGAATGTGGTTTGGTTCACAAAATGCCAAAGAGTGCGCGATATCATATAGATAGAGCAGAAATAATCGTCTTACCTCAAAAGGTTGCCACAACTGTCTGTTTCATCCAAGAAGAATCATCAAGTGACTGACAAATTTCGAAAAGTGGGCTGCTCAAATGTTTACGGTCGGAAACGTGGGCGTGTGGGCATTTTGAACGTAAATCAATGGAGAAACACACAAAAAGTAATTGAATGGTTTGGACAACCTCGTTCCCAGGGCTTTCGGTTGAGGACGAGGGGCGAGACGAGAATCCCCTGGTCTGGGCCGGTCAATTTTGCATTCTGATTGGCTAACACCATATTGTCTAAAAATAGCAGAACTTGACAGTTAATAATGACAATTCAACATAAATTTATAATTGTTGTGTACGAGTATATTTTGCAAAATAATCTTTCAAAGGAAGAAGTTTTCAGTTTTCCCGACTGCATGATTTACTTTCGCATAGGCTGGTTACAAAACTCAAAAGCCGTGTCGACGTGACTGTGATGTTTCCTGACAAAACAAGAAACGTCTATATACTATTGAGCTGTAGTTTTCCTTGTACTGCATTTATAATATAGTGCAGATGTCTGATGAAATACAACGCTTTTTGCACTGTAGTAATACTTTAATTTACAATATTCTTTAATTTACAATATATATATATATATATATATATATATATATATATATATATATATATATATATATATATATATATATATATATATATATATATATATATATGGAATCTTTGTCTATTATAATTTGAAGAAATGCGGAGTGTACGTTTTTGTGAGCAAATATAGAGCTGACAAAGCCAATGAAGACATCCGAGGGTTGCGGCATCCATGTATTTCTACACCTGACTGTTACGCAAACCGAATCTCCGCAATGTTTAAATTTCCTGGCACGCAACATCGTACCCAGGGCATTTTGCTTCCGATCAGCGAAAATGGCCTTGGCATCGGCTGGTCACATGACCTCAAAATCTCCAGTATTTCGGGTGTTCAATTATGATAATTCAACATATCCCGTAATATTGATGACTTTTAAACATAACTTAATAAGTAACTAAACTAAACAAAACAAAACCGCTTCAGCGTTTGTTTTATATAAATCGTGTTTAATATGAGCAATATTAAATTGTGATATTCGTATCACAATCTTTATTTGACCACGGTTAATAGACCTAGATTTGACTATAACGCTGTACGTTTCTTGAAATCAACGATGTGTAAACAACGCATGTGAGAAATGTATGTTGAACCGAAGCAAATACTCGTCTATACAAAATGTACAAAGACTTAATTTCGACCAAATTGTTTTGTGATGTATTGTCTTTCCCTAGTTCATGCTGTATCTCAAGCGAAATGTCAAAAATCTTATTTGCTCAATACTTTTATAGCCCTTCATGAACTAATTATAAATTTGTCACTCCACTCTCGTTCCACCAAAATAATAATTATTCCCAGAATAATAATTATTCCCACATTCAAAATCATTGACCAATCAGGTTGCAAAACAGACCAGCCGAAGCAAAAAGCTCTGGGTACGAGGTTGCCTGGCACGGGCTATCCAACTTTATCTGATGATTAACATAACTTTATCCGACAAAACTACATGATTGTGCTTTTCGCACAACGAAAGTTACAGAAAAACGTGAAATCGAGCATTTAAATCCTGACTGAACACTTATGCAACCATTTGCATAAGTGATCAGTTCCTCCCTTCCTCCTTTCTTAAATTATGTGCATGCATCAGGTCACTTTACTAAAAATTCAGTTCATGCTGAAACTGTATTGCCAGTGTATTGCCATTTTCCTTTCATTTTTTTCATTTGAAAAAGATTCAAATTTTCGTGGAATTTTAAGTTGAATTCAGGACCGTTTAGCGAAGGGGTATTGGGGGGGGGGGAGTTATCCCCCACCCCAACTTTTTTGGAATTAACATATTCGGTTGGCCATTCGGAAAATTACGGCAATAATAATATAACAAAATTTTTGTTGTTAAAAAAGCAGAGAAAATATAGTGTACATTGTCAGTATAAACTGATTTCCGAAATCATGGCATTTATATGGATAACATCTAACATGGTAAATGATTTTCGATTTATTACTTCTCAGGGCCGTAGCAAACGGGGGAGGGGCTGGGGGGGGGGGGGCTGCAGCCCTCCCAATAATTTGCTAATATAATCATTCTTTTTCAAAATCATGCAGACCTTTATCATTTAAATAATATACCTGACAATTGATTATTTTAAGCGGCTACAATATCCATGACAAACTGCAAAGTATCATATTACCCATACTTTCCTGTATGCAACTTCTCCAATATATAGTTAATTAAATACGCCTTCGATTCGCCCATTTAATACTACTAAATTGTAAGCAAACTGTAAATTTCGACATACTAAAACGCTGTTTTCTGACCATCAGAATTCTCTCAAAACTTCCCTAAAGTCCAGGAAATGGCATTTCGGAGACTCTAAATTAAAACATTTCCTTCGGCCCTCCAATCAAAAAGAGCTTCCAACGGCATTGCATGCTTCTGTGATATGTCTGTGCGTGAAGTATGCGTATTTTTGTTTGTTTCGTCTTCATTTTCCGGATAGTAAACACCTTCGTGGCTTCGTATCCCATGAAATATTCGGAAATTGTTTTCGTCATTCGGATATTTTTGGCCTACACCCCCCAACTACACATGCTAGCTACGGCCCTGGTTGAATTAAAAATGCATGAAAGGAAAGAGTACTTTTCTGATTCATGATTTCTTTCTTTTTTCCAAAGAAGAAATGCTTAAAGTGCTACACCCTTTGCTGCATCAAAGGATCAAACTGCAAGAACAGTTACCAGCAGTGCTTGCAAAATGATTAAAATAATATACAGTAATTAGTTGAAAAACTTACCTGTGTAATTGAATAGAAACAATTAAATTTTTGTGAATCATAATGTTTGGGATATATAATTATCTTTATGTCATGATGTCGTGCCAGCAATATGGGTAATTTCAGTGTAACATGCGCTGTTCTAGAATCATGGACACAACTTGTTAATAACATCTTAATTCATGTTTCGCTCGCTACTCTGGTTTAAATAAATGATTACAAAGCCCAGTCGAATTGTAATCAAGACCCAACGTTTCGACACTCCAGTCTAGTGTCTTCATCAGGGGTGATCTAAAACTGCGATCGTGGCTTCTTAAATACCCAAGGGATGACGTCACCTGCCAAGAAAATGCATATATTCCTCTGGCAAATAGGCACCGTCATCCCTATTCAAAGCATGATGACTCATATTTATATGCCACGCTTCTAGGCAAAGTCTTTGACCATAGCGATTGTTTGTGGTAACTTTGCCTAAAAGCGTGGCATATAAATATGTGTCATCATGCTTTGAATAGGGATGACGGCGCCTATTTGCCAGAGGAATATATGCATCTTCTTGGCAGGTGACGTCATCCCTTGGGTATTTAAGAAGCCACGATCGCAGTTTTAGATCATCCCTGATGAAGACACTAGACTGGTGTGTCGAAACGTTGGGTCTTGATTACAATTCGACTGGGCTTTGTAATCATTTATTTCAACCAGAGTAGCGAGCGAAACATGATTGATATACCTGGTTGCAGTGAACGAACAAACTTAACATCTTAATTTGTCTCTTTGAGAGTTAAATAGTCGGGCAAATTTCTTATTGCTCCCCTAATTTTTCCTCCTGTACGTACAACTTTGTATTCATATGCATGCAGGTACCAAACTTCACTAATTAGACATCCGCTTCGGGAAGCAAACTGAGTTTGAAGCAGATAACGTGTAATCTTATTAAACATATTGAAAAAGAAAACAGAAGGCACTTAATGCTTCGTTATTAAGTATTCGATATTTAAACACGACAAAGAAAAGAAGCCGAACACTAAAAGTGAAATAAAATAAATCGTTCGTAATTATTGTTATTCGAGGGTGGAAAAATAATTAATATTTTCCCTTAAATGTTTAATATTCTTGCCTCTAAAATGTATCCCTATACTTTAAAATTCTTAAAAAGCCTGAAGACGTAGGAGGGAAAATATTCATTCCAATTTTGGTTTCAAATATTCATATTCCTACTCTTAATATTCATATAGCGATATATAAATATTAAGAGTAGGAATACGAATATATATTTGAAACCAAAATCGATATTCATATCATCACACTACTTCAGAACCAAGTATTCAATATTCATCTTCCACTCCCCGATTGTTATCGACAGAATTTTATTAAAAATATTAAAAATATGAGAGTAACAATAAATACAATATTACTGTAGTAGTGCAGTGGAAGCCATTTAAACTCAGTAAGGACAAGGTCCATTTCCAAATATCTCGCCTGAGCACCATACACTGAGTGGATTTCTTTATTACGTATATATGGCGGCCAATTTTTAATGTAAGGCACTGTTGAGTTGTTTGAGGCACTAGCTGTTAACTCTACCAGTTCGTGCATTTGCAACAAATATAAAGTCAAAACACTGATATAAGGAACAATTAAACTATTACAATGACTTACTCATTTCCTGACAGACATTCAGTGACTCATAAAATCATGCTTTCTCATACTTAGAAATGATCATGCTTTAATTCTTGTGCTTAGAAATTATCATGCTTTTATAGTGTTGTTCTTAGAAATGATTACGCTTTCTGGGTTGTGCTTAGAAATGCTTGGTTATGCTTCACGAGAAACCTTTGGATACCATTTAGAAAATTTTTGCATAGTGTAAAGTCACTAAAAGACCATATATGCATGTACAACAAAGTTTGGGAAAATACAAACTAACAGTTAATAAAAATTTAAAACGAAGCAAGTTTGAATAAAATTATATTGTTTTGCACTGTATCCAAGAGAAAGTCGGAATCCAGATACCGATTATAGTGGATTCTTGGTCTCGACTCGTAGATTCCAGATACTAACTAGTAGTCTCTGGATTCTATCGTCATAAAAATAACTAGATTTATCTGGATTTGGATTCTACTAACAAACTGGATTCCGGATTCCACTAACAAACTGGATTCCGGATCCTACTGTGTCGATTACAGATTCAGTGCAATAGATCCCAAAGTGAAAATTTTGCTGTCTTCCAGATTCCTTTGCACAGGACGAATTGTTTTCTTAGTTCGTGGTACAGCTGGTATACAGCTCCATTCTCAAAGATGGCCTGTCAACAAATGACTGCGGTAAAATTTTGACATAACGAGCATGGATTGGACTTTTGAAAGCGTTAGTCACAACCGTTGTTTTATCGGTGTTTCCAGTGAAAATCTGTTGAGAAAAAGAAGATATTTTATGTTATGATGTTAAATCACATTTACGTATTTCAGCTCTGCAGATCAATTGCTACAATATAATACAATTGAACAAAGCCAGGGTAACCCATTAACCCATTAAGTTGCATTGCGCCCTACTTTATTATTTTACTCTGTCTTACGCCAGCTGATTTTACTTGTCAAAGAAAAAGTGTTGGATGGGTTCATTAGACTATCGAGCTAGCGTAGAATTATCTATTTTTTGTACCGCCAGTATTTTGAAATTAAAAACTAAAAGTAAAGTCCATGATAGTTTATATAGTCACATTACCCACAAAATCTGGTACCTTGGGATCACGTGACCAGCAGGTGCCACGGATTTCCCCCGCCAACTGTCGAAACGGAAACATGGTAAAAACAAAATATGATTGCTGTGCAGTCGAAGGTTATTGTTTGGATCCCCTGATTTCCTCCTTACTAGCACTTTTACCACGTTGATAATATTCGGCAAAACTTCTCCCAGTATAGCAACTTCATTTCCCACCGGACTTCCAATGAAAAATTGAAAGCTTTGCGTTTTACATATGTTTTGTGTAAGATATATCCACTGACAACATGAACCCCGCACGAGTGGGAGAAAATTAGCTATATTTGACCAGCCTGACTGGCCGTATTTTATGAGCAAGCTAGGGTCACATGTGTTAATAGCCAAAGGCCCCATAGCTAGCAAGCCTTCAACACGGTCAGGTTGATGTTATCTCTTCCACTTCGACTGTATAAAACGCAATAAAGGACGAAAAGCTTCAAAAGCTCTTCATTACATATTATTTAAATCTTCGAAAAAAAGAAGTCTAAGCTAACCTTAGTACTGCCAGATTCGTCGTAAAATTCCCAGTTTTGACCATCAGTACTGTATGATACTTTGTAAGATTTTACCCATTGTGGATGAACGCAACGTCCTTGGGTGGCTACACCTGTCACCCAGATGATGTCACCCAAATCAACCTGTATCCATCCGCTCTGTTTTCCTGCATTATTTGTTGTCCACGCGCACCAACCACGATGTACATTAAGTCTGGCATTGGCAGGACCAAGTTCACTGTTATAAGACGTCGAAGCTGTAATGGCACCGTCCAATATTTTCCCACTTTCCATGCCTAATGGAGTACAAGGTTCTGCATGGAACAGAAAACGATGTAAGTATGAAGCAAAGGCTGCAGGTTCCGGAAAATGGCAGTTTTAACTAAACGCGACCACAATTCTGCTTTCTACTTGTAAGTAGTAAATGAACAATGCAGTAAATAAAATCTGAATACCAAGAAACAAGGCGAAACGCTACAGCTCGGTGGTGTCGTACCAGTTAAGCTGTGTTCACACTACGAACCAAGGATTTATCCAAATTTGTGACAGGCTTGTCCATGGGTTAAATAAACTAGCCAGTCAATTAGTGAACCATGCAAAAATCTGGTGGGGATAGTTCCTGTAATTGTGACGTAAACACACGACTTATAAACTGATTTAAAAATCGATTTTTTTTAATTAAAGTCTAGATTTGAGATAAATGACTGTTCATCACCTAACTAAAGGCGAATTTCCAGTCTTCGCGCGAAGCTCTTCGCAGTTCGCTGCGAGTGCATGCATGAGCACTTTTATCCAATCACAATGCTAAACAGTTAACTTTAATTAGATGCAAGAACTCGCTGCGAGGAGCTTCGTGGGAGGACTGGAAAACCGCCTTAACGAGTTTTACCAAAGTTGGTTTATGTAAACATTTTTTGCGTTTGCGGTTTCGTAACTGGTTAAAATATTTACATATACGTTAAGGCACAACATTATTTTTTTATTAATGAAGATAAGGACTTTTATGACTTTCAGGACTACACGGTCACATGAAAACATCAAATTCAGCAGATATTGTAAATCGTATGGGAATATGATTAATATAGGTCCAGTGGCGCCACAAGAAATTTATTTTGTGAGGCTAGTAATTAATTTTCGAGTATCCACTCTCCCCCGTCACTTCTATTCTGCTTGGTTACGCCACTGAAAAGGCTTTAGATTATGATGAATATACATGATTTTCGAAATAGCGAGTTGTGTGTCTTAGTCATAATAATCAGGCTACGTTTAATTTGCTTTGGATTATTGGTGAGAGGTTAATTTCAGTAAATGAACTACTTGCCTGCGTCAGGAATTGTCATGATAGAGTTTAGTTGAAGGAATATCTGTTGCCAATGTCATACTACTAACTACTGCAGCTGTGACATGTTGCATGTAAACCTTGCATTGAACACATTAAAGAGTTCAAAAGGAATTTAGTTTGTTTAAATCTGTAACAGTGTCTCATAAAAATTGAGGAGTGGGGAAAATCAATTAGTGTAATGGATGTATATAAATACAAATTTGAACTTGAAAAATATACTTTTTTGGTCACTTTGGGTAGCTGTTGAACTTGTCCGTTTATTATATTTGCCATGCAAACGTTACTATTAATTATTACTATTAATATTTGTTACTTCACCTCTAACGGGATCTAAGCATGTGTAACCAATTTCATATTCTTCATGGGCAATGCACCAAAATCCTTTACGACATGGACTAACGTCGCATTTTGTCTAGTGAATATAAATTTAATAAATTTCTGAGTTCTAGCGTCCATTAATTTAAAGGGAATTACTATTCTATAAAACAAATACTGCAGATTGTTCGATCTGTTAACAGTGAGATTATCATTACCATAGGTCCAACGTATTTCCAGCCAGCTTTCGCAGTGAATTTTGCATTAAATATTGAATATCGTGTTGTTTCCAACATTTCACACTCGTGCTCTCCGGCTTGTGCGGGACCAAGATTTATAGCAACACATCCCTCAGTTTCTGCGCAGTGAACCATACACTTGATATGATTTGTCACTCTGCTCGTTGCTATTGGTGTTACATTAAATTTGTGTCCAGCAAGAGGTAGACCCCAATTTATCGCTTTCAATTTTGAATACTTCATGTGTGCAATACTACAACTTGATAGATGGAAACATTGCCAAAGGATACATAAACCTGCGGTGACTTTTCTGGCAGACATTTTGTAGACGCAGTGCCAGTGTTGAAGAACAAAAATCGCCAACGCTCTAGTTTTACAACCACATATGTTGTATTACTACTGCTGTAGTTATTGCACTATATGATTATGTTTGCGGCGAGGAACCTGTTTTAAATTATTAATATCTTCATAGGGTCAAGGACGCCGGAAAGTCGATAATTGAGGGGGGGGGGCAGATATTAATATATTCATGTTCTGCATCATTTATTTCCTTTGAAAGCGATTGTTTTAACAGTCTGTGAACACGAATATATGAATATCAGTCCCCCAATTATCGACTTTCCGGCGTCCCTGGATAGGGTTTTAATATTATTGCCTAACAACGAACAAAGCAGTTATATTTTGCACTTATATTTTAAGTTGTAATCTAGAAACCCCATATAGTGGAGTGATAATGTGGATATTTACCGGACAAATGTGACAGAGTTTATGTAAGGGGGTGTGTTCCGCATGCATGTCACACAAAATTTACGGCATCGTTGGTTTTAGCTCGATGTTGTTTCACGTAAGCATTTTTGGTCGCGGTTTCGTACCTGCTTAAAACGTTTACATACGTTAAGGCACAGCATTATTTATTTATTAAATCTTACTTGACGATATGTGTAAGCGGGAAGAGTGAGAACGGGACTCTAAGCCCCATGCGAGGCACATACCAGTGTGTAATTTTACAGGCAGGGCCTATTTACCGTACGAATAGTATGTATGAATAAATATAACACTATACTAAGTAGTACATGAATAATGAATATTTATGAGTGCAATGCCAATGGTAATAATATTTTCATCAGTCCATCTTTCACTGAATGAAAATATTTTTACTTTGCACCAATTAATGAAAACATTCATTGACATTATTCACTTGATATGACACCAAGATACTGAATACTTGTTCAAAATAATTCGACAAAAGAGTTCCAAAAAATGTTTCATAGTGAAGAATTAATATCATAATGGTGGTCATTTATCGCAAAAAATATCGTAAAAATATTGTATTTTTACACCCGCCAGTTTGCTTCGCACGAGTTATGTATATGAATTTAGTTCCATTGGTCTTAGTATGAAAACTATTATACAAATAATGAACGTTTATTCGTGCAATGGTAAGAATATTTTCATTCGGTGAAAGATGGAATGTTCCATTAAATCCCATTTACTGAGTTTCGAATATGGGTTAAAATAAACTGCGATCACCGTACGAGAAGCATTTTGACGGATGCGATTTATCGAAAACATGCCAAAGAGTGCAATGCAATTTAACGTATGGTACAATTGCACTCGCAAAGAGTGCAATGGAACGTATTCCATTGCACTCATGGGAAATGGAATTTTCTATCCAATATCACGTAGCCAATTAAACGATCAGAATTCAATAAAGTATTATATAAAATTAATGACATACGATTACGACGCGAATAGTGATTAACTCTCAAATACGCGCTTCTTATTGGATGACGTTTCCACTTAACAAAATAGTTAACTTTAATCACCTTTTTAGAGGGCCCTGAAGGGGTAAAATGGGAACTGGGATTGACCTATTTTTAGACTGGGAAAATGGGGTTTCGGTTGCTGGGACTGGGATTTGGCCACTGGGAATGGGAAATGAAGTCCTCAAAATTGGGAATGGGATTGAGGTAATGCGAGTCAATTCCCAAATTTTTCTACGTTTTAAGTATTTTAAAATACAATTTTGATCCGTTTTTGGTGTCTTTGGTCATGATTTTTGTTGTTAACTATGTTATTCACAGCACTTTCTGCGAACAGGCATATTCTGGCGGCCGGAATTCTGGCTTTTCTGATTATGCGTGTCTCAGAATGCTGCAAATGCCATTTCCGGGATTCAAATTTAAAAATTTTCCGTTCCTTCGGCACGAGCCCCCGCCCAATATTTCATAAAGTGTCCGCCACTTGGACACACGGTGGCTTAAAAAGTCTTAAAACTGTTTATTCTACCGATAAATAACGTTTTTTTATTGACTGGGATTTCAATAACTCGGACTGGGATTTCTAATAAAAATCCTACTGGGACTGGGATTTTGCCAAAATTTCTGGTGGGAAATGGGATTGGGACCCCCCCTTCAGGACCCTCTTTTTATACAACCAGCCCCAAAATTTAATGAGGTGTTATAGTTAGTAAATATAAAACATTTGCCGTGTTGATATAAAGTTATATCAACACGAGTGGAAATTGTCGGCCGGAGTGTTTTGAACAAATTTCGAGTGTTGATATAACTGTTTAGCATTTTTGCACAGCTGAATATGACAAATCCTGCAATTTGATTGGTCAAATTTGACGTATTAAGAGGCTGTGTCTGTAAAATCCGGTCACTCGATTTTTGGTTTAAAATTGAATTTCTCTTATATTTTGTTTAGGAACAGTACTTGGAATGGTTATGTCCGAAACGGATTTAGTTTGTTTAAATTTTTTGAATCCTCTTATTTTTACGCGATTTTTCGCGAGTGAACCGTAAAACGTGAAATTCGCCGTCGTGAGACTCTATTTATAAATCGTGTTTGAGGCCTCCTACAGAGAAAAAAATTCACTATTTTCTAGAAATATTCAGTCGATGTTTACAGTTATCTGTGATGTTTGAAAAAAAGAAAAATTTGTCTTGACTGTTTTTCTCGACGGGGCCTCATTTTACAAAGTGGTACTCTCGGACCTGCCGTGAAAGTAAATAAAGTAGCCCTAGTTTGTCGTCAAATTTTCCGTTACTGGGACAAAACTGAAAAATATAGTAACGATAACTTAAAACAGCAAGGTTTGAATAGCCTATAACTGAAACAATATCTGTGGCTAGTATTTTGTAAAGAATGAAATTTCATGCGAAACTTTACTATTTTCACTTACCGGCCGCCAGTATCATAGAACGTCCACAGCTTTGAAAAAGTGTATAATTGCCACTGACAATCAACAGAAATTCACCAGTCCACATTGAACGACTAAAATGGGACAGTTATATATAGTCTTGAATTCTACCAATCCATGAAGCAAGTGTGCTCAAAAATCCCCAGACACATACGATCTTAGTGTTGACAACTCAGTGATATTGTTTACATCATGGTATTTTACTTCCGCCTGCTTTACCAGAAAACGCTTAGAACAATTAACCTGATTTCGTTTGGCCGTTGCAGGAGTTGTAGCCATGCTCTTCCAGGTTGAAAATTTTCAACAACTGCGGCGGCGGGACAAAATTATGCCGACTACGAGCAAAACAGTGAAGCGGCAAACGGGGTTTAAATGTTCAAATTCAACTAAGAAAGACATTCTAACTAAATCTCGTTAGGGTTTATTTCAGAAATTACATGAATCATTTGCATAAGTGGTTGCTTTCTGTTTTGTCAAACCGTATAATATTTGATAACAAATCATGTACGTGTTCATTACAGTATTTGAGTCATTACAGTATTTGAGTGGTGAATCAGGCTTTAAAATTCAGAAAGTAAATATTTAAATTAATGTCAATCTAAGTGCGATTCAGTGTTGCTTACAGTTGTTCTACCAGTTCTTCGATCTTGAGAAGAAGATTTGGTTTCCTATCAGTGGCACCATATTCAACTTCAAAAGCTGTCAGCATTTCCTTTAATAAAGGAACAGTAAATTTGTTCAATTTACGATCAACAAAGTACTAAGTCTTGCAAATATTATAATTATCATACATGATTGGATGCGTTAAATAATGGCGTTATGGACCGACGACAAGAATTCTTCTTCCTCTATTTCATTTTCAACCTCATTAACATCTTCTTCACTTATGTCTTCGAGAGAATTGTCTAGCATCTGTTTTTTCCTGAATGCAGCAAGTCTCGAGAAAATCCTTTAATTTGACTGACTTTTAGCCATTCCTCTCTTGCAAAAATTCTTTGTCCATCGGTGTGCCTCACTTTCCGCATTTCAGTCTCAATCCCAACAGGATCAGCTTTTTTACCAGTTTTTTCGCCCTCATTAAACTTTGCGATCAGGTAGTCCGGGAAAGCGACCTGAGAATGAAGACGCATGAAGAGCCCATCCTTGAAATAATTCTGTAGACTCACCGAGAATCAGGCTCTCACTTCCAGGTTTTGACTTGCTTGGCAATTTCAAATTTGAAATGTTGCCGAATTTACTTGCCCAGTCTCTTCTAATGGTGTCATACAAACTTTCTGATTCTTCTTGCGTATCGTGCTGATGGCGACCAAGGTCTAGATGAACTTCTAATTGATTAAGGGAGTCAAAAGCTTGCTTGCAACCAGGTTGAGGGCATTCATACATCATGTCTGAGGGAACTTGCTGTGCATTCTTATTCTTGATTTGTAATTCACGAATGCTGTTATTTTCAAAAAAACGTTGCCCTTCTACGACCTCAAGTAGTGACGACCTTTCTAGATGACTGGAGAAGAGAAAATCATTGTTGATGAGTTTCCCGTCGCCAATCCCGTAAGCTTTCCATAACCTGATGCCATTACTCTCATGCTGAAAGTTATGAATTGTACTAAATCCTTTAACTTTCTTTATCACTAAGGAATTTTTCGCTTCGCCTATCTTGCCAACGCATGCTACAGTTCCAGAAACGTTCCTCTCCTTCAAAGCCTTTCTCATATCACTCGCTGTTAAAATGTCATTACCTTCATTACCAAACGTTTTCAAGGCAGACTTCATTGGGCAAATTATCCTGTCGCAGATATCTTTTCCTTGACCTGGCTCAGAGAAATGGTAATTTATTATTTTGACTCCAGTAAGCTTTGAGATGTCCTGGCATGCTGCCATGGTCATGTTGTTGTGATAGCAAGCTCCTTCGTTGGATCGTAAATACGCTCCAGAGATACTTGGGTTTTGACTTCGAAGTGTCTTCAAAATGTTTTCTACAATCGAGACTACAGCATACCAATGTTGACTTGAGTTGTCAAAGAGATGTGCGAATGACTGTGTGCGCAATTTTCCATCAACCTTGGAGATTACACTACTTATATGCCAGCTCAGGCCTCTCTTTCCGAACCACTGAGACTGTTTTTCACGATACCTGGTCGGCAAAAATTTCATAGCCCATTCCATTACAATCAACACCGTATTATCATCAAGCCTTTTTATCATGTCTTCCTTCGCCTTATCTTGATTCACAGATCTAAGAATATGGGCCTTCCACCAAAACACGTCCTCTGAGGCTTGTCGCAGATCATACAGCAAATCTTCTCTCTTTTCTTGGGCATGATCGCCGGAACACCGACTGAGAATCATATTCTCGATCTCTTTTAAGACCATTTTTAAATCTTCGCACTCTTTACATTTCATTTCATGTTTGTGGCCACATGGCTTTTGGAAACATTTTTCGTCTGCATCGCTGAGTCCAAAGTTCACACAATGATCTTTGCAAAGACTGCTTTCCATTGAGCAATGAACAGGATATTTGACTCTGAGGTATAATTCCCCATTTTTCAATATTTCTTTCGTCTCTTCTGCCCAGGCGCTATCCACACCAGCTTGTTCAAGATCATTCACTATTCTTTCAATTGTCTGAAATCCCATCGCTCCATCAGCAGCAGTATTATCTAATCCTCGCAATGACTTGCGCTGAGAGGCTTCACATACCTCTAAGATCCTGAACATTGTGCGGCGACTAAGTGGACTAGTAAAGCCTTCTTCTGTGCAGTATTTCATGTAGAGCGCTACCATGGTTGATCTGGTGATGATACGCACGATATTTGGCATTTTTATTCGCTCGCCGCTCTCCAGTTTTAACTCACGTACTCCATAGGCAACGTCCTGGTTAAAGTGCGACCTAATGATAAAGTCAATAAAGTGGTCGAGCTTTGCTGCATCGACTCGCACCCTGTGTGACTTTTTAGTCTCTTGGATTGTTCCTGGACCGTGTAGCAGGGGCGGCGGAAAGTCGATAATTGGGGGGGGGGGG